CCCCCCCTGACCCCCAAACCCTGACCCTGAACTCTACCCCCAAACATGCCCCAGCCCATCGGCGGGACCGACCTTGCTGACATCACCGCCTCCACCGCCGCCGCCCTGGTCACGTGGGCGGACGGCCGCGAGTATCTGGCGTTCTACCTCGACTGCGCCGCCTGGAGCCCGGCCTGCCCGCCGCTGGGGCGCATGGCTGTCGCCTGGGTGATGCGCGGTGGCAGCGCGGCCGCCGCGGCGCCGTAACGGATGAATGCAAGAACAAACGGTCATGGCTCGTCATGAGAAGAAATGGGGAGGTGACAACATGTGTGGCGGCCGCGCAGCCGCTGCAGCGGGCGGGCGCGGCCGGCTGTTTGCTGCCACTTCCATAAAATGACGGGCGCTTTCTCGTCCACCCCTTGATCATCACACGCGCTGCCGCCACCGCATCGCCATGCAAGCACGCTGCTAGCCCACTTCGCTGTCCATGCAGCTGCTGCTTCCTGCTGCTTCCTGCTGCTTCCTGCTGCTTCCTGTCACTCTCCTGTCACTCTTACACGGGTGATGTATGACAGGGCTGCACAAACAGACGCAACAATGCAAAACAAATAAACCGGCGCTGCAGGCGGTCAGATTCCAAGTGTTGGGCGGCCGCGTTTCAAAACTCACGTGCGAAAGATGTCTGCTCATGTGTGATGCATATCGCCGGTGCACTGCACTGACCCAAGCATTGCTTTCGCTGTCTGGATGCATGCGTCACTTGGTGACAAAACTGAGGTTTTGCAGCCCTCTTGCTTGACGACGCGGCTGCGCACTTCTCCACCAAGTTTCATCCATCAAAGCTCCGCGGCAAATAAAGCGGCATTGAGCGTCGTTCACACTCATTCGTTTAGCCCTGGCTCGCGGCAGCCCACTGTCCCTCCTTGGCAGACGGCGCCGGACCGGAAGTGAGCACCCCACGCCCAATTGAGAGCAGGGTTGATACCCTTGCCCCGCTGGCATCACAATGCACTCGGCACAAACTATGAATAATGGCATGCACCCTCGACCCACACACGCAGTCAATTGGGCCTGTTTTTGCCTAATTGTGTTCACCTGTCGTCCCCCAAGAACGCCAGGCATCTACAGATGTTATCATGTGTGATTATGTGCATCTTTTGATGATGGTATCACATCCCCACAACTGCCGAGCACAAACTGCTTGTGCATCACATGGCGGCGTGCCGTGTGTGACTGTGCCGTGTTCGCAACATTGGCGCTGATGTGGTGGCGGAGCGCGTGCCATTACTGCGTTTCGAAAAGGCGATCGTCCAAGGATATGAGCCTGCTGGTGTTGTCGGCAGCCGCGCACCAGTAGTGCGGCTGCGGCTAGCTGCTGCTGGCGCTTCTGCAGGGGCTCGCCCGTGGTGGTCATGCCCTAGCACCCGCCTTTGTGCCGGACAAGCACCAGCGACCTCCAAGGCGATGAAAGTCGGTTACGCGCTGCTTGAATATTCACTATCCCAGCATTTGTAATGCCTGATCCCTACGCTCCGTGCATGTGGGTGGACAGCACACACAGTCACAGACAATTGAATCCTTTGTAGGCCTGGTACACCTTGTGCTGGTTGCCGAGCACTGCAGGTGCCGTATCGCAGCTCGGGTTCTGAGGAAAATTGGTCGGGGCTATATCATTGACAGCACATGACCACTGTGAGTCGGGCGCGCGGCCGCCGCCTGTCTGAGCCAGGCATGCGCACGATAACGCAGCGCTTGCGCAGCCGTGGAAACGCTTGCTGCTGGGCATGCTTGCTGCGTGTCGCTAGGAGCACCGGCGAAGCCCGAGAGGTGTGGGCCGGGCCTACTGTCGAGTTTTCCGTACTGTGCTGAAACTGTGTTCCGCAAGGTGCTGCACCCTTCTTTGCCCACGCAACACGCCAAGCCTTGCTGCTGACCACTTTCAAGGCAGCTGCGTTTCAGCTGCGTATTGTGCTTTGGATGGCTCCTTGTGATGGCTGCTTCAGAAGCTGCTCAGGTATCTGGCCTTGCACCCCTGTCTGTCGCTGCGCGCTCACAGCCTCACAACTGCACGACACACTTCAAATAGGATTCAGCGGTGCCTCGTCCAGCATCAAATCCAACTGCGCCGCTGTTTGGTTATGTGGCTGCTGTGCGGACGTAGACAGGCGTACGTGGGCAATGCGTGTGCTGTTACACGGCGTGCTGGAACAAAGGTTTTCGCGGGGTCACCTTCATGCATGGATGACAAAAGTGTGCTGCAGGATGCCAGTGCGGGCAATGTGCCAAAACGGCAGCCCCTGCAGGCGACGGGCGCAGCGGCCCTTGCCGCAGCGCGCGGCGCGCGTGGACGGGGCGCTCACGACACACGCCGCGGCTGAGTCGTTCGTGCCAAAATTGGGGCCCGGTCGCTCGGGCCGCGCGCCAGCCCCCGCCACAGCCGCAGCAGGGGCCAGGTTGTTCAAGCAGCCGCAGAGCCCTGGCCCGAAATCAAGCCAGGACACTGCCTCTGCTTGCGTGCGGCCCGCGGCGCCCGAGATGAGGCGCTCAGTACAGAGCCTCCTCCTGTAGTAGAAGGTGGGGGAGGCGAGGTTTGGAGGGTGATAAGGTGCACAGTGGCAGCGTGGCGGGTGGCAGGTCTGGCGGTGGTGGCACAGTGATGCCACGCGATGACAGTATGATGCGCTGTTGCGCTGAGGGTGGGTCAAAGGCGTGCGCACAAGGGCTGTAATGCATGCACATGTAGGCATGGGTAACAAGCATGGAGGATCAGTGCACAGCTGGCGCACCTGGTGGGTGGAGATGGTGACGTCGCTGGTGGCGTAGGCCTGGGCAGGGGGGGCGGACACAGGGTGGGGGGATGTGTGGGTGCAGGCGCTTCTAGCCGCAAGAGACTGAAAATTCGGGCGTTGTTGTGGGGTGTCGCATATCATGCATGCAGCAGCAGGGCCCTCAGGGAGCGGCTGGCTCACCACGCAGGTCAGCACGAAGCCGTTGCCGATCTGGGAGTCATCCAGGAAGGACTGGTCGCTCTGGTCGACGGTGCCGGCCTCCACCTTGCCGGCGCAGCTGGAGCAGGCGCCTGCGGGGTCGGAGTTGAGCGGCGGTGGGTGGGCGGCGGCGGACGGGCGCAGCAGTGCTGCACTTCTGGTCCTGGTGCGGCGGGAGCAAGGTCCGCCTTTCGACGCGTTTGAAGGCATACGCGACCAGTTTCGCTGCCAATGTGCGTTAGCATTGATCTGGGGATTCGCTCACCAGCCCTGCAGGAGTAGGGCAGGTCCAGGCCAGCCTCCTCGGCGGCGTCCAGGATGTAGACGTCGTCAGCCACCTCGATGGTCTGCTCGCCTGCGGTTTTGCGAGTTGCGCAGAGGGGTCATGGATCCTGGAGACCAGGGGTGCCAATATGCCACAACCATGGGACCTCAGCGACCACGCCGGGAGTCACATTGCGAGACATCGAAGGAATAACACATGCTACCCCATGATGGTGACCTAAACGCCTGTGGGCGCCGTGGTTCACAGGCTGATTGTGCGACCGCCACCACAGGTGGACCATTCATTCCCGCTCACCGCCGGGGGTCTTGAGGGTGACCTTGTAGGCCATGGCCTTGGTGCAGCGGCTGCGGCTCACGGGGGCGGGGCGAGCGGTGCTGCGGGTGGCAACGCGGGCACCGGAGACACGGCGAGCGAGCTGCATGGTTGCTGCTGGTGTGTGTGAGAGAAAGTGAGAATGGATGATGCTGATCGGTGGCTTGGGAATGTGTGATGAATGCGGGGCTCCCCCGCTGAAGTGCTGCTCGTCACCAGCAAGGGCGATTGGAATTCGCCCAGCGCCATGTGTCAGCCACGGCCTCAATTGCCCATGGCATTGGATCCGTGCACTAAAATGACGATTCGGGGGGGTGCCGTTGTGCAGCGGCCTTGGAAGCCCAGTGCAGCGACCAGACGCAGCACTGACGGAGGGAATGCAGGACATTTGAGGCCATGCAAGGCGCTTGCTGTCCAACACTGGATAACTGTCTCAAATTGACCCGGGTTGCCCGCGCAGTTTCGTCATTTCACACGTAGCGGGCAATGGCATCTTCAGCTCCAGCCGAGCAAGCATTGACCGAGATTGACTAGCCACCGAGTGGTCGAGGCGGATTCGGCCGCGAGCCCTCCCGCCCTTCTACACGCCGAGATCACAGCGGGCAAAGTCCCCGCCAGAACTGCATAATCGCAGCAGCAAAGCCGCCCTCCACAAAACCGCGCTTTTGACTTGCGTGCTGCTGCCTTGCAGCCGTCGCAGATACTTGCCACACATCCTCTGGGGCAGGCCAGCCTGGCGCCCTTCACACCTGGCGGGACCACGGCCAACATGCTCGTCTCAAACCAGGCCTCGGCCCTAGCTCGCCTCACGCCACGCCAGCGGCCGCCGGCGCGGCGGCTGCCCCGCTGGGCGCGGCGGCGGCGGCGGCGGCCGCCGCACGCCAGCAGGCCGACTTGAGGGCGGCGAGGCGCTCATGCCTGCGGCGCCTGCGGCCCTCCTCCTGATCCTGCGCGGGCAGAGACAAATATTTAGCCACAAGCCTTTATGTTTGTGCTGATGGATACTGCAGCATTTGTACGCGCGGCGCTGGTGGCAGCCCTCAGGCTGCTGTCCACATCTGACAACGCCGTGCAGCAATTCGTTTTGGCCGCTAGGATCCAACATCGATCGGCCCAACCGCACCCCACAAACAGGCGTGACCGCATCATCTGGCCCCCAGCGGCGGACGCCGACAGGCCCGCGGCGCACCTGCAGGCGTGCGCGCGTGCGCTTGTCTCCGGCGGCCACGTGCCGCTGCGCCTCCTCCAAGGCCTCCTCTCGCAGCCGCAGAGCCTCGATCTGCGGGAAGCATGCGTGCGTGTGTTTGCGTATATGTGTGTGGGCCCATGCATGCGTGCGTGCAAGTGTGTGTGTGTGTGCGTGTGTGTGTGTGTGTGTGTGTGTGTGTGTGTGTGTGTGTGTGTGTGTGTGTGTGTGTGCGTGCGCGTGCGTGTGTGTGTGCGTGCGTGCGTGCGTGCGTGTGTGCGTGCGTGCGTGCGTGCGTGTGTGCATGCGTGCGCGCGCGCACACACGCGTGTGCGCGATGCTGCATGCTTTCGCAAGCCATAGCACACGCATGTGCATTCGCTACGCGGCAAACGCGCCTCGGCCGCGCCGCTCGAACTGGCACTGCCGTAGGCCGCCCGCTTTGCTCCTGCTCACGTGCGACTCAGTGCCGCAACCCCACACCGGCAGCAGCGGACAACGCAGCGGCAGTAGGCCGACCAGGACTCTATATATAATAAACGCCCCACCAGCCGCCCCAGGAGCCGGTCAGGCCCCGCCCATCCCAGCCAACCTCGTGCGGCAGGTCGGAGTAATCCTTGTCGGCATCATCCCAGGCGATGACGGCCGCGTCGCCAGCAAACAGCCGCGGCCACCAGCACTCGCTGTGCCGCCAAGGCCTGCATGCGCATGCGAGCGCACGCACGCGCACGCATAGCAAGCGGGGTTAAAAGCGCGAGCAGCCCGCAATGTGGAATTGGCCGCCAGAGGGGACGCGGGCGTGCACGCACACTCTCCTGCGCACACGCGTCGCCCTCACGTCTGCCGCGGGACACGACGCACTCCCGCAGACGGCCGTGCCCCTGCGCCTCCCCCCGCCGTCACAGGCTGGCCC